GTCCTCACTGTTACTGGTAAGCTTGAGAGCATTGTTGCTGTCACTTTGCCAACCCAGTTCATTGGGGGTCCTCTGCCTTATCCAAAAAGGTTGCAGTGCCCCCCTCTACCTCTGGGCTCATCCCCTTGCTCCCCCACCACTGGATGTGTTGTTGCTTTGAGAGTTCCAGGTTTCTGGCCCCCTCCCCTCCATGTGCCCTGCCTCCTGCTCCCCACTTACCGGCATCTCATGTACGGTGGGAGCTTGGCCTCCGTAGGCCTGGTTGCTGGTGCTGTACACAGAGGCTGGCTGTTTGCACCTGTCAGATGAGAAACACTCAATTTCCCACTGACTTGTTTTAACTCTACCCAGTCATAGCCGTCCAAAGAGAGAGGGAGGTACCCAGGTAAGCAATACTCTGTGAAGGTGGCCCCCACCATGTGCAGAGAAGACCCCACCTGGCAGGCATAGCCCCCTTGGCCTCTGCTTCCCATTGCCCTGCTTTTCCCCATGGCAGCCAAAGCTTCCAAAGGCACTGAATTGTGTCCACCCCAAAAGACAGTCTGAACTGCTAACCCCGTCCTGGTGAACATGCCCCTCTTAGGAAATGGGGTCTTTACAGAAGTGAGTGGCCAGTTCGGCTATGAGGACATGACAGTGGGCTGAGAAGAGAAAAAGAGGAGACATGGCCAGAGAGAGAAGGAGAAGGCAGCCATGAGAAGATGCATGCCTGCGGTCCACATGCAGGAGCGGACAGAGCACAGGACCCTGAATTTGGAGTCCCAGCCTCTGTCCACTCTTTAAGCACCCCCCCCCCATCACTCCATGGGGTACTTGGTTATAGCAGCCTCAAGGTGTCTACGTCTCAACCCCGGCAGACTGAGCCTCCTGGCTTCCGGAGCTCCTGCTGGGAGCTCACAGGGTGCTGACGGGTGAAGCCTCGGAATGGCCAGCCTTGAAAACTGTGGGTCCGAGCTTCTGAGTCCCACCTTACAGAGGCCATCCCTCCCCTGGTGCTGATCAGGAAGAAGCCTGTCTGGAATCTGCCTGGTCCATGCTCCCTCTCAGTGGAGCCCCATGACTGAGCAGGATTTGCACTCAGAACCGCAAATGAATGACAGGGTTTGAGCCAGTTACTGGTCTTGTATCTCACTTGTCTCAACTACAAACTGAAGGCAGGACAAGGCTGTGCTCTCTAGGATTGTCCAGGGATTCAGTGATGGAGAGCAGGCAAGGAGCTTAGCACAGAGCCTTGCAGTAGCAGATGTCTCTTATTGTTTATCAAAGAAGAAAAGCCAGTTCAGAAATGCAGCCAGTGAAAAGCTCTAGGTCCACAGGAGGGCTCAATCGCTGGAGGGAGCATCGGAGAGCATCAGAGAGGGTGAGTGAGGACCTTGGTGAGAAGGACTGGCCAATGGCCAGGAGAATGGACTGACCTTGTGGGAGCTTGTGGGGATGGCGCGGACCTGGGCAGCATGTTGTTCTGTCTTACGAGAGTAAGTCAAAAAGTACTGCTCCAAGCTTGCAGAATGTGCCCTTGGGGTTTTTTTTTTTTAATGATTATATATTCCTGAGTGATTTGTATACATCAGAAAAACAGAGGGGATAGAAGTAAATATTGTTGAATGGTGACGCATGGAGGGAATTGTAATCGTTGCAATGACTCAAAATATGACAGGATGAGTGCAAAACTGATGTTCTTCCATGTAAACTATCATTCAATGCACAATAAAAGCTTTAAAAAAAAAGATCAATGCCAGTGCCAGTCCCTTTCAGTTCACTAATGCCTAGGATATTAATATTTATGCCTTCCATTTCATTTTCTACAATTTGCAATTATCCCAGAGTCATACTACTTTGTACATGCCACCTTCCAATTACTAAGGGATGTTTGTAGCTGTTTCTTCATCAAATGAAGGTCCCGAAGGCTTTACTCCATTCGTGTTTTCACGGTCAACTCTACTTTGAGGAAGCAGTAATTCCTCAGTCCTATTTTGAGAGCCTTCCAACCGGAGGGGCTCATCTTCTGGCATTCTATCCGACAATATTCTGGTGTGCTTCATCATGTTTCAATATTCAACTTTCTGGTGTCATCTGACAGTGTTCCACTGTTATTCACAAGATTTCAGTGACTAAATATTCACAAGTAGCGTGTCTTAGTCTGGAAGCTCATCTGAAACCTGTCCACCGAGGGTGACCTTGCTGGTATTAAAATAACGATGGCTTAGCTTCCAGAATCACAGCAAAACACAAGCCTCTGCAGTACAACAAAGTGACAGACGAGTGGTGGTAACAGCAGTCAAAGAAGACTTTCTTTGTTTTTATAAACACGTATGATATGTGCACTTTTCAATTTGTATGTCATGCTTGAATCAAAAGTTAAATTAAAAAACCAGGTGCTCAACAACAACAAAAAAGTCCTGTTTCAAAACCTTTACTAGACAAAAAGATCAAAATGGAAAGCTATTGTTTCTCAATATATCCTACACCTGCATCTAAACACTTCTGAAGACAGTGTTTCCGTCTCTGGAACGCTCCCTGAAGAATTCCGTGCTCTCAATTTACACCATATCAGAACAGCACTTTTGACATCCTCAAGGGACTCCAATAGGGGTCCTATGAAATGTTCTTTGAATTGGGGGAACGAAAAGAAGTCTGAAGGGACAAGGCCAGGGCTGTCAGGTGGACAGAGTAAGGTTGCCCAATGACATTCTCCTAGGACAGCCCTCGCTGCCTCAAAGAATGAGCAGGTACATGGTTGGAATGGGAGAATTCCTTGGTGCAACTTTCCTCACTAAATAAGTTTCCATTTTCTTAACCCTTCATAGTAAGTCCCTGTGGTCATCCTGTGTCCCTCCAGAAACTCTATGAAGATGACCCTCTGGGATCCCAGTAAGTAGATGCCATCACTTGCTGACCTGAACTTTCTGCCTTGAGTCCAGCTGACCCAGCAGATTCCCTCGGACATCACTGTTTGCAGTTTGGATTAGACCCTCTTTTTGAAGACACCCTAATGAGCCTAAGACAAGTGTCTAACTGAGAGAATCTGTCTGTAATCACCCAGTGATGGCAGAGACATGTTGAAACACGTGTTATTTGTAACAAACACATAGGTGTATGAACTGGAACCCTAGAAGCAGTATTTTTTGACTGACCTTCATTCATGACGTTCCCACCAATCAGGGCTGACTGTACTATTTGTGGACGTGCTCAGAGCACCTAACAGCCAGCAGGTCAGTCTGGGCTGTACCAATCATCCCAGGTTTTACAGAGACCAGCAAGGAGATTGGCCCCAGGGCACAGAATGGTGATCTGGGTCTCTTACCTCCCTTGGGGTCCCTCCCACCCCACTGCTCTGGCCCGCACTAGCCAAGGACCACCCATATATATGTGTGCACATTGCAGGCAACACTTCCCAGCTATTTATGGGTCCTGGTGTTACAGATGGAACCTACCAGCTGCTCTGGGAGAAAGACAGGCAGTCTGCTCGGGTAAAGGCTTACAGCCTCGGAAACCCTAAGGGACCGTTCTCCTGTCTTACAGGGTCTCAATAAGTGGAAACAACTCCATAGCAGTTGGGGGTTTTTTTGGGGGGGAGGTGGGGTGTGGTGGTGGGGTCGGGGTGTTTTCCAAGCTGCCCCATTGCTGCTTTTGCCTTCAGAGACCTGGGGAATCCCTGCATACAGGACCATCTGAGTGCTGGCAAACACCACCCCAGCCCTCGCCCAAGGGACCAGGTGGCCTCTCCTTTCGTGGTTGGCCAAGTGAGGTCCAGCTCTTAGCCTCACATCTCCTTCCTCACCTGTAGCCCTGAAACCATCCCGGGTTGTTGAATCTGGCCGGCAGGTCGGCGCTCACGCGGTAATAGTCGCAGGTTTTCTCCGGCGGAGGATTAGCCTTCTGCTCAGGGGGGTCCGCGCATACTTGGGGGTCTTCCTGGGACATTTTGCCTCGGGTTACAGAAGAGAGAAGACTGCTAGGATACCTACTCCACAAGAAAGCTGCGAAGACGGTAGGGGTGGCGTCCGGTTGCTAAGTGACGTCCTGGTCACCTGACCCGGGAGGGACGGTTCTTAAAGGCCCCGCGCCACCGGTGTCAGGGTGTCTCTGCCGGGATCTGGGATAAATGTGAGGTCTAGAACCTTCCGCCTCACAACAAAGGGTCGGGGTCCTCCAGAATAAGACCTGGGCCTGCAGAGAGCGCTGCTATTATTAGACGCCAGGCCAGAAAGCACGAGCCAGCGGAGGACTTTTCCAGCGGGATGGGGAGACTTGGGGTCGGGTTTGGGGCAAATGAAACCTGAGATCCTGGGATTCATCAGCAAATTGAGCGGCGTATGGTTCTCAAGGAATGCTGGTGTGGCGCTGCAGGATATTGCGCTGGACTGCAAGGTCAGTTGGAGCCGCTAAGTCAGTGGTTCAAACTCACGTGTCGTTCCTTGGAAACCCTATACAGGGTCGCTATAGGTCGGGAACCGACTCGTCGGGACTTAACAACAACACGGTTCTCCCAAACCGCGCGTCAAGTCAGGCTTTGACGCCTAGTGTATACACCAAGAATTCTTCATGTCCTCCAATACCCTGCGTCTAATTTTTAAATTCCAGATGTGACTAACTTTGAGTGGGTTCAGACTCAGCGACCCCATGCAGGGTTTTCTTTACTGGAGTAGAACGCCTCCCCTTTCTCCCTCCGGTGCATTCTAACTACTAACCGCCCCATTATGCTACCAGGGCTCCTAAACCAAATACTGTTGTGGTTCCACCTGTTCCGACTCATTGTTGTTGTTGTTGTTGTCAGGTGCCATCGAGTCAGAACCGACTCATAGCGACCCCATGCACAGCAGAATGAAACAATGTCCGATCCTGGGCCAACCTCACTACCGCTGCCACACTTGACGCCATCAATGATGCCACCTGGCTGATCCATCTTGTTGGGGGTCTTCCTCTCTTTCTCTGGCCCCCCATCTTACCCAGCATGACATCCGTCTCCAGCAACTGGTCCCTCCTGTCCAACTCATGATGTATTGATGACGTTAAGTGCCGTGGAGTCGGTTCCGACCCATAGCGACCCTGAACAGAGTTTCCGAGGCTGTAAATCTTTATGGGAGCAGAAAGCCTCATCTTTCTCCAGCGGAGCAGCTGGTAGTTTCGAACTGCTGACCTTGCGGTTCACAGCCGATTCGTAACCATTACGCTACCAGAAAGGACCCTATATAAGGTTTCCAAGAAGTGACTAGTGGGCTTGAACCACTAATCTTGTGATAAGTAGATCCTACACCGCCACACCAGGGATCCCCTAAGCCAAATGTTAAGTGCCATCGAATAGGTCCTGGCTGGTCACTGTGGGATAAAGTACAGAACCGCAAAGTAAGTTTGAACCACAAGGTTAGAGGTTCGAACTCACCAGCCGCTCCTTGGAAATCCTATACAGAGTCGCTGTGAGTCGCAACCGACTCTACGGCACTTAACAACAACATAGGGTTTCTGAGGAGCGGCTGGTGAGTTTGAACCACCGACCTTGGGTTGCAAACCTATGTTTCGGCCCAATGCTAACCCTACAACGCCACACCTGGACTCCTAACCAGTGTCCTGAAATTGGAAACGATTTCGCAGAGCGAGAGATTGTGTTGTTCTGGCGGGAAGTGAGATGGGTCCCATTCGCCCACTGGTTTCCCACGAAGAAAGTTCTGCTCCCACCATCTGTGGCTGGGATTCGGCCCTGGCTCCTGGACTTATTCCAGTGTGGTCCTTCATCCACCACCCTAACCACGCTCAGTTGCCGGTTTCCCACCCAGGCCCTGACCCGACCCGCATCCCAGGACCCCCAGTCCTCACACCCCGACCACTCTCGAAGCCCAATACCCCACCGAGACCACGCCCCCAGCCCGTCAGGTTCCCTGCCCAGGCTCTGACCCCGCCCAGAGCCCATCTCCTGTCACGCCCTTGACCACGCCCTGCACCCAGTTCCCTGCCCCAGGTCCTGGACCCTGACCACGCCCCGCGTCCCGGTCTTCTACCCCGCTTGCCAGTCCCCCGCCCCGAACCTTGGTCACACCGCGCACCCAGTTCCCCACCCCGCACCCTAACCTAGTCCTGGCTCCTGATGTGCACCGCACTCCGGACCCCCGCACTACCATTCCCGGTCTTGTGCCCTTCGCACCGGCCCGCGTCCTCCTTCCCTTCGGTTTGCTATGAGCTTCGGGGGGGCGGGGGGCAGTGTGTCTGGCGCTAGGACCCAGGAGCGACGGAGAAAGACAAAGTAGAGTGCTAGGCCGGGCGCAGACGTGTAGTGCACGCTCCCGCCTGCTGGGGGCGGTGCGACCTGCACAGCCGCAGCGGCAAGAAGCGGCCGTTCGCCGGAAGTCCGGAGCCGCTCGCCGGAAGTCCGGTCCTCTAGTTACGCGCTGTGTCTGCCCGCGCCATGGCTCCTGTTGTGGCCGTGCTTCCTCGGCTACTGGGCACGGGTGAGTGAGCGTGGCCCTCCGTCCCCCAAGGATCTGGGGGAGGCGTTTGAAGTGGGCTCGAGGGGCCTGTGGGCCGGGCGGCTGCGGAGAGGAGTGGTGAGCCGTGCGCGGGGGGACGGCCCGCACTTGGAGCGGAGCCGGGCCCCGTGTCCCGTGTCAGCGCCCGCACTCCGCCTCTCTCCCCAGGAGCCTGGCCCACGTCACTCTGGCTGGATTTCCTCCGGAGGGCGACCCCGGGGCCGAGCAGCAGGACATTCGGGAGCGCCTCGGCCCCTGCGGTCCGCGCACCCGAGGACGGCGTCGGTAACCCTGGCTCCCCGTAGATGGGGGGCGGCTCGGGAACCGGTGGGGGCGGTGGTCGTCTGCAGGGAGCCCCGCGTGCCCCGGGCTTAGCCGGGAGACCCTGGCGCCCACTTTTCCCAAGGGAGAGAGAGGGCGCCCCCCCTCCCCAACGGCTGCACAGTTCAGAGCCTGAGGCTTCGGCCGCCCCCCCGGAAAGATGCAGTCCCGGAAACCAGGGGGCAGTTCCGCTGGGGGCGCTGCTGCTGGACACGTGCGAGGCTGGGGGCGCAGGCAGCCAAGCACCCGCTCAGCGGTTCGAACCCACCCGGCGGTTCTGCTACATCTCTTCCCGTAAAAGTGACAAGCGAGTACCCGGGTGCGGGCGTTCGACTCTGTGGGTCGGAACCGGCACTAGCAGCGCTGATAACCGGACCTGGTCCCTCCGGAGCATCCTTGAACCGCTGAGCCCAAGAGGATCCCCCGCGCAGGGGCGCCTGGGTGGCAGGAAGGACCCCAGCTGGGGCCTCTTGACCAGTGCGGAAAGTGGGGGCCGGGCAGGGACAGGCTTACCCAGCAGTCCTCACCCGCTACCGTGGCTTTGATTCCGACTCCCAGGGACGGCTAGGACGGAGGAGAACTGCCCCTTAGGGTTCCCAGGGCCATGGAGCTCAGCCACAGAGCGGCTGGCGGTTCGTATCCAGGCACCGCATCAGCGGTGCATCGCTGCCACCCCACCCTCATCCCCAGTGTTCGGACACTGTTGGGGAGCAGAGGGCCTGCCCCGGGTCTCCCGCTGGCCCTGCCACCGTGTTGGGCTGTGGGAGCCCACCGCACCTTCCCTCTCTCCTTGCCCCCCGCAGATTTCCACGACAAGGTCCTAAGTGAACCTCTCAAGCACTCCGACTTCTTCAATGTCAAGGAATTGTTTTCGGTCAAAAGCCTCTTCGATGCCCGAGTGCACCTGGGACACAAAGCTGGCTGTCGACACAGGTAGGCTGAGGCCCCAAGCCCAGTGGGTTCGGGTGTGCATAGGGACCTGAAGGTTTAGGGTCCGGGGGGGCCAGACCTGCCGTGTCGGAGAGGGTAGGGGCCTGTGTGGTTAACACTACGCTACTAATCACAAGATCAGAGTTTCAAACCCAGCACTGTGCTGGAGAAAGGCGAAGCTGTCTGCTCCTGTAAAGATTTACAGCCTCGGAAACCCTGTTCTGGGTCCTGTGAGTCAGAACCGATTTGTTTGCGGTTGATTGGTCTATGGAGGTGCGATAGCCTTCAGCTGTGTGGACAGAGGAGTGCAGGGGCAGCTGTAAGCAGCCTGAATGCTGTGTGGACATCAGGGGCGATGGTAATGAGAGTTGAACTCCTGGTGGCAGAGAAGCTGCCGAAGTCGGGCTCTGGGGGCACTGAAGCGACCCTAGGAGACCTGAGCAAAGTATAGCTAGGCCCTGAGGCTGAGCCCTTGGGCCATCCCCATGGAGGTGGGACAAGCCAGGACCTGGGGGTTAGCTTATCCAGAGAGGGAGGGGAGCAGAGAGGAGGTCCCTAGAATGAGTGTTTAGAGGCTGCAGTGAGGAGGAGATGGCGTGGCCAGGGAGTGGGAGGGACCAAGTCTAGGAAGCAGAGATAACTGAAGAGTGATCCGGGCCATCCGAGGATGGGAGGACCCCTGATGTAGACGTGCAGAAAAGGGATAGTTTCTCAATCCCCAGCTGTCCCTGCTCAGGGCATCCCTTGGTTCCGTGTCCTCAGGGTCCCACTCCAGCCCCTCCACATTTTCCAATTAGAGCCCCTCAGTGCCAGAGGAGTCTCATCCCCAACGCCTCAGAGGCAGTAAGGATGACAGCGTGATGGCTCGTCTCCTAGCTACGCAGCCCATGACACCCAGGAGAGAGCTCTGGGCCAACTGCCCCACCAGCACTGGGTGGCGTGCACTCAGTTGGAACGCTACATCCTGGGACAAAAGCCGGGGCTCAGCGGGGTGAAGCCACTGCCGCAGACTGCCGAGCTGTCTGCGTCTCCCCTCCAGGTTCATGGAGCCTTACATCTTTGGGAGCCGCCTGGGCCAAGACATCATCGACCTGGAGCAGACGGCCACGCACCTCCAGTTGGCCCTCAATTTCACGGCCCACATGGCCTATCGCAAAGCAATCATCTTATTCGTCAGCCGGAACCGGCAGTTCAGTCACTTGATCGAGACCACGGCCCGAGATTGCGGCGAATACGCCCACACCCGCTACTTCAAGGGTGGCCTGCTGACCAACGCCCCCTTGCTCTTTGGGCCCAGTGTCCGCCTGCCGGACCTCCTCATCTTCCTGCACACACTCAACAATGTCTTCGAGCCCCATGTGGCTGTGAGAGACGCGGCCAAGATGAACATCCCCACTGTAGGCATTGTGGACACCAACTGCAACCCCTGCTTGATCACCTACCCCGTGCCGGGCAACGACGACTCGCCCCCCGCCATCCAGCTCTTCTGCGGGCTCTTCCGCACCGTCATCAGCCGGGCCAAGGAGAAGAGGAGACAGGTGGAGGCCATGTATCGGCTGCAGGGTCACAAGGCAGCCGAGGGCATGGACTTGAAAAGCCACCCTCCGCAGGAGCACAGACAGGGTGGTTCTGTGTCCACCTCGCAGATACACTGAGCAGCCCAGCCGAGCCTGTCCCTGAGCTGGGAGGCCTCTCCTCGCCCATGGGTCCTGTCGCCTTCCCATGGTTCTAGGTGTTGGGTCCCCCTGTTCTGGTACTTTCACAGAATGTGGCTGTCCAGGCTTCCCTTCAGAGCCTAGGCCACATGTTCTCTGCTTGTGCCAGGACTCACTGACCCAGCGCCCGGATCCCCAGCCTGGGTGGCACGCTGAGCCTAAGACACACTGGTCCCCACACCCAGGGTTTTTTCCCTAAGAGGTCAGGGCGTCCCTATCTGACCTGGAGATGGCCCCTTAGGGCCTCAGGAAGACCCTTATATCATTCAGGTTACACGTGGTTAGTCTCCTTAAGCCCAACTGCTTTCTGCCTGATGGTTTGGGGTGTTTCGTGATGGGGTACCACAAGAATGAGCCTCTATGAAGCTGACAGCAGGATTGGGGCAGAAATAAAGCTGACGTGGGGACATTTCAATGGGCATTGGGTTCTGCAGTATGAGGTGGGCAGGTTGTGCTTTAGTGGGGGTGGTGCGGATCTCCCTACCTCCCAGGCCCGCTGTGGGAGGCCACCTCTGAGGCTTTGGGCAGCCACATCCTCCTGGCCTGTCTTCTCCCACCATGCAGCAGTGGGCAGACAATCCCACAGATACACACATACCACTCCCCTCCCACCCACCGCACGTGTGTGCATTCCACCCCCTCCAGGGCTGTTCTCTAGGACCCCAGTCACCCAGCTCTGTGCCCCATGACAGACAGGAAGGGCCACCTGGAGAGGATAAAACTGGAATAGGGGCTATAGGAGAGAAGGCCTCGTCACCTGTTCTCTAAATCGGGGTCTCCAGAGAAGCTGAGCCCTCAGGGTTCCCCAGGCTCAGAAGTCTCCGCTGGCCTAGGGTCCCACTAAGCTTGAGGGACTGCAGGGCAGACACTGGACCACAAGTCCAGGCTGAGGATCTGTCCTGGGGAGTCCCCTCCTGAGGAAGTAGGCCGGGTCTCTGCCTACCCTGAATGTGGGGAGGAGGTGAGAATGGACTGGAGGAAATCTGGTCTCAGGAATGAGGAGGTGGGAGGGGCCAGAGGAGAGTCCAGGTGTGGCTATTGAGGTGTTGGGCAGAGGGGCACCCATTGTGTTAGAAGAGGGGAGAGGGGTTGGGAAAGGCAGATCCTAGGTAAGAGGGCTCAGAAGAATTCACAGAATGGATGGGAAGGCAGCACAGGTGTGGACAATGAGGTCCACAGGATAAGGAGACCGCCCAGGTATGGATACTGTAGCTGTTGTAAGGGTGCAGACAGCTTCTGGGGGGACAGCAGGAGAACACCCAGATGTGGTCATCAGGAGGCCTTAGCATGCCTGGGTTGCGCTCTAAGAAGGTGGTGTAGTCTAGAAGATGCCAGGTGTGGGGAGTGAACAGGCAGGCTGGGTCTCAGGCTACCCTCCAGGTACCCAGCCAGGAAAAGACTGCAAGGGCAGGGCAGGGATGGTGCAGGTGACCTCACAGGCTGGAAGTGACAGAGGACAAAGAATGTTTGGAGGGAAGCGCTCCTGCAGCATGCTCCCTACCCAAGCAGCCCTGGGAGCCACTGGCAACCCACATATGTCCTGGACTCGGCATGAAGTGCCTATCAGGTTCAGAGGGAGCTTCATGGAGGGGCTCTCATCCTGGGGAATATGGTGAGGAGCTCGGGGGACGGGCGCCCAGGACAAGAAGGGAATCCTGGAGGCCCTGGGTCTAGCCCCGTATCCTAGAAACGGCGAGAGCAGGCATCAAGAACAAGTACTTGTTCCCCCTGTAAGGTGGATGGGACAAAGTTCCAACCCAGTTCTGGAGAGCCCTTGCTACCCTTGAAGACTGAGCAGACGCGTTGTTGTGAGGTGAGGAGAGAGACTTGCTCTGTGCAGCTTTCCTGGTCTTTCAGAGCTGTGCAAGGCTCTATTTTCTTAAAACTGCTCCTAATAAGGCCTGGTGATTGCATCCTTCGAGAAAATCCATCCAGCTGGCCCCCTTGGTATCCCCAAACAGTCACTATAACCCAAGCTGTCCTCTCTTCTTTCCCTTTGACTGGCCCAGCAGATACCTTTAGAAATCACTGGGGTTTTTTTGCAGGTATCCTAAAGAGACTAAGACATGTATAATCCTGAGAGAACTGGTCTGCAGCGACTTGTTCAAACACTGTTGTTTGGAATAAATCTGTACAAGGATGAAATGGAAGTCTTGTAGTAATTCTTTTTTGACCAAAAATGGCCCCCAGTTTCTCTCTGACCTCTCCTCTCTCCTAACCTGCCATGCTGGCCTCCTCAATACTTCTTAACATTCAGCCTTGCTTCTACCTCAGGCCCTTTGCACATGCTCTTGTCTGCCAGAAGTCTCGTCCTCAACATTTCCAAGTGGTTTTATCAAATGTAATCTGACTGAAGCCTTCCCTGACCACTGCATGGACTCCCCACTCCCCACTCCCCAACCCTAGTGCTAGGCACTATTTCCCAGGTTGGCTTTTGTTTCTTCATTGTCTCCCTTCTAGAATGTGAACCTCATGAAGACAGGACATGGTCTGTTCAGACAACAGTGCCCAGTGGGTAGTAATTACTCTGAAATTCTCACTCAATGAGTAAGTGGGTGCTAACTCCACCAGCCCTTGCAGACCAGGGTTGTGAGGTGATAGATTTTGGAGCAGGACACACATCCAGAGTTTGGCCCATGGGGTCACGCCTGCCCTGAGCTATTGGTAAACAGGTAAACTGTTGTGTGTTGTACGGTCTCCAGATTCCCCAGTAGTTCCCAGACCCTCACTCTGCCAACTGATAGTAGGGGTGGCTGCTTAGCGCTCACAGCCAAGTGTTGGCCCAGGAATTGCTCTCACTCAAATGCAAGTGCAGTTGAGCACTGAGTGGCTACTAATTTGCTACCCCTGCTAAAGATTAAGATCCCCTAAGAACTTGATTGAACCTCAGCATAGTGATCCTGCTTGGTCACCTTAGAGCAGGTGGTGGTCTGGCAACATCTTGCATATGGGGTCCCCAGCCGGTCTCCTCCCTCCCTGCCTTCTTCGGATGGTGGCTGCTTATGCTGGACGTGTGGCCAGAGACGGGTAAGGATCACGTGGAACTTCGGCAACCTAAGACAGAGCCATTGCCATGCTGCAATGAGTTTCGATGACGGGTAAGACTGAGGAATTCGCACTGACCGCCTAAGACAGGCAGCGTCCCTTAAACAAATAATAAATAAGAGGGAATCTGATGCAGATGGTGCAGACCCGGTCAGGAGTTCAAGTCCCTGTGGGCCCAAGCGTTGCAGACCGTCCAAACCATAGGCTCTGAGGATCAGACTTTAGCCACCTAGCAGACATAGCAAACTGTCCCTCATCTGATTATTCAGTAATGCTTGTTAGTGATTTTCTTCCTTGGGCCTTGATATCCACAGATAAATGTAAAAACCTTCCCTAAAAGCCGAGACTGTAAATTCCAAAAAGGCAAAGTTTTTCCCCCCCACAAAAAAAAAGCTAAAGAGGATAGAGAGAAACACTGTTAACTGATGATGTATGGAGGGGATAATAATCAATGTAATAAAACAAGTCATATGAATGGTTGAATGTGAAGCTGATGATGTGCCCTGTAAACTTTCACTCAATCCACAATAAAAACCTTTAAAAAAAAAATACAAGTGCACCCTCCAACTGATAACTCCTCAGTGGTGGTGTGTGAAAACCAGTCTATCCAAAGAGACAAGGGGCTGGCCCTTTGCCTCAATCAGGAACAACGCGGGAGGGTCCACCCTGTTTCAGAGCTCACCGACTCCTCCTGCCCACTCCAACTTCCTCGACACCTCAACAAACCTCCAGATCACATTAGGTTCCAGGAATCTGACCAAGACAGGCCACGCTTCGCTTATGCTTTGAGGCATCCAGTGATCTTTTTGAAACCTTTACTGGTACACAGGACTAGATGAGGCTCTGGGGGACACAATGGTGAATAGGGAGACCTGGCCCCTGTCTGTGTGGTGAATACCACAGGACAGGTCACTAGGTTGCTGTGGGATAGGAATGGGCATGGGGTTAGGTCAGTACTCAGCCTTGAAGCTGAGACTAGCCCTCCAGTGGGGAGTGTAGGTCATGGGGTAGAGACATGGGTGGGGTCTTGTCCAGAATGAACTCATGATACAAAAATGCATACAGACCAAAGTTTAAGAGTGGTGACCAGAGAGGGGTGGAGGGGGAAGAGGACACAGAGATTCTGTCACAGGTGATGGACAGTCTAGACTGGAGAGTGGCGATGGTTGTAGAATTTGGTGGACGTCAACGTCCCAGAATTGTTCACATGGAAAATGAAGAAATGGCAAATGTTTGTGTCAATATTGGCACTGCTGATGTTTGGTGTTGTGGAGATGATCTCAACTTCCAGCAGCCCTGTGGAGGAGTAGACATGCCCCACAGAGTGTTTGTTCTAGGATGAAATCTTTGTGGTCTTTCTCCAGTGGAGCCACTGGGTGGATTTGAACCATGAACCTTTTGGTTATCAGACAAGAGTGTAGCCATGACATCATCAGGGCTCCTGTTGGTGCATGTAGATATAGGGAGCTTCAAAAAGTTGGTGGGAAACTTCCCTTATCTTTTCATCCCATTTCCCCATAAACTTGTGGAAACCCGTAATATACACATATACATACATACATTCACACCGATACATTATTATTGTCAAGTTAGTTCCAACTCATTGGGACCCTGTGTAGGGTTTCCAAGACTGAAAATCTTTACAGGAGTAGAAAGCCTCTTCTTTCTCCTGCGGAACTGCGTGGTTACAAATTGGGCTGCTCATCTCAAGGTCAGCAGTTCGAAACTATTAGCAGTTCCACAGGAGAAGGATGAGGCTTTCTGCTTCCATAAAGATTTACAGCCTCGGAAACCCTATACAGAATCACTATGAGTCAGAACCAAGTCCACAGCACATAACCAACCAACTAATATGTGTGTGTCTGTCTGTCTGTCTGTCTGTGTGTGTGTGTGTG